TGTCGCTGTCGATGCCGTGCCCGGCCCCTTCGCCGGCGGTGATTCCGTTGGCTCGGGAAGGTTCTGCTTCGTGACGGGCTGATTGCTCTCTCGCTTCCTCGTCATTGCCACTGGCGGCACCTCCCTGATCTTCGCATCCACCTGAGGCTCTTCCCGTGATCCTTGGACAGCGCTGCTTCCACCTCTTCGAACAGGTGGCGCCGCAATCGAGGCCGCGTTCCTGCCTGAGCTCGATGCGCCACCTCTGCCAGTAGACTGTCTCGCGCTGCTCGTCGCGCTGCCGCCTCCCTCTGCTCCTCGATGGTGTTCTGGGGCCGTCGCAGCATGCAGTTCCATCGCTTGACTCATCAGGTCGTCGCCGTGGTAAACCGCTGGCTCCTGGCGGGCCGCAGAAGGCGCAGTCTGCGACTGCTGCTCCGGGAAATGAGTCCTCCGCGGCGGGAGGCAGGACCAAATCCCATGGCTCGAACTCCTCGTTCGAGATCTCTGCCTTCTCGGCGGCGCCCCCCAGCCCCCGGGGACTGCTCACCGCGAGAGCTCCTCCCGGAGCGCATGCTCGACGCACGTGGCTGTGGAGGCGCAGGACAGGCGGCGGCTCGATTCTCTTCGGCGATTTCGAAACCGGCGGCAAACGCATCTTCGCATCGAGAAATCCAAATAGTCTCTGCCCCAAAGAGACAGTGAACTACAACTCGTTCTTGTTTCCCGAATCGGTCGATATTGTCTGTCTTGTTCTGGGGGTCGAGGAAGTTCCTGGCGTGGTCCGTGTCTTTCGGGGGATCGCTGGTATTCTCGACGCGGTCTTCCGTGTTTAGCGTGTCAATGTTCATGGCGTGCTCTCTCTCGTTCGTATGGTTGCTGATGTTCAGGTCGAGGAGGTTGTCCGCGTTTGTCTTTGCTTTCATCTTTTCGGGCGTGATTCGATCCTGCGGTTCCTGACGCTTCCTGGAAAATCCCAATGTCTTTTGAATTATCTCGCTTGATTCCCATGATCTTCTCACTCTCGATTCTTCGTTCTGCCCCCGAGATCCCCTGACAACACTTTCCACGGTTCTGATGGCAACTTTCCTCGCGCCCCGCTCCGAAAGCGTTGTCTGATCCTCCGGATGGGCGCCCTCGCAGGACATGGGGGGCGCGGCGAGAGCTGGACAAGCGGATGACTGGCTCCTCGTGCCCATCGGCGAAGACGAGCGCTGGCTTGTCCATGATGAGGTCTGCTCCCGCCTCCTGCAGGTAGTCCAGACCCAGTACCATCGGCGATTTTGTGCCAACCAGGTCGAATCACAACTTGTTCTTCTCCTCTGCCACCGCCGCTGGATGCTCGAAGCCAAACCTCCCGATGGACTGACCCTTCTCCCCACCAGCGTCGGTGAAGTTCGTTTTCATGGCGCAGTCCATATCGACCTAGTCCTCGCCTGTCTCTGCGATGAGGCCCTCCTGGATCGCGAGCGCCAAATCTATGCCGATCGTGCTCTTGGAGGCTCCTGCGTCAATGATCGCATACCCCGCCGTATCTTCCTGTATCCAATCAGCTTGTCCTTCTTCTGGGACATCTCATCCGTTGCTGTGGATATTCTTCTCAGCATCAACTGCGTCCACGAAGCCCTGGCTGCCCATCTGCGCGCTGTTGCCGTCGGTCCCAGTGTTCCCGCGCCTTGGACAGTCAAAAGCTCGATGGGGTCCTTGGCAAATCAGGCACTTGATGACCTCGCCTTTGCCCTCGCTCTTGGGTGGGCGCCTTCCTGCCGACTGTTGCTGGGGAGGGGGTACTCGCCGATCGCCGCCTTGGGGCCCCGGGCGGCTGGGAGGGCGCAGTGCCGACTTCGCCACCGCCGTCGCCCTCGGGTCCTTGCTGCCCTTTTCCGGGAGCTGCCCTATGCCCACCACCGGGAAGTAGCCACTTCTGTTATTTGCCGCTTCTGCTAACATCTTCTTGGGTCAGCAAACGTCCTGTTGGCGTCCTGCGCCTAGATCCCAGCGTCTTCGGCGCACGCTTCCAACGACTCGATATCCTCGTTCGTGGTCCTCTTCTTCGTAGTAGGCCTCAGCCTCCTCCGTCTGCTCGACCTCGTCGTTCTCGAAGCAAGCCAGGTGATCTTCATCCTCGCCGTCCTCCTGGTAATTCATTTTGGCGCGCCTGATGTCCCGACTGTTCTGGATCCGCATATCCTTCTCGTCACCAAAACTATTCCTGGCCATAAGATCCTTGTCTCACCACGCGTACTTCAGCTTGTCTGACCACCGTGGCCCGCTCGCTAGGGTCCAGATTGGCGATCACGAGGAAGTTGATGCCTCGCAGCTCGTCAGGAATCAGGCCCATCGCTTCCATGTCCGGGCAACTCGCCCGCACGCTCTTCTCCATCTCTTGGCAGGCGTTTTCCTCCTGCTCCGCATAGAGCCCGATCGTTTGTCCCAGCTCTGATCCTCGGTCCTGATGTTCTTCTGTCGTAATAATGCGAGAACACCTTGTCCACCACATCACTCAAGGCATGCTTGCTCAGACTCTTCTGGAATCCCCTGAGCAACTTATCTGGGCCCTTTTCGCCAACGACGGCGTCGACCTCACCCTCGATCCGTGGGAGTCGGACGGCCAGTTTCCTGTGCGCGGTATTCTTGGGCAGCGCCTGCACTAGACGTGGGCCGAAAAGTTTCCTGTCTTCCTCTTTCGTAGCCAGCGTGAGCAACTCCACTTCTGCCTGATGCTGGTCTAGTGCCCCAGCCCTGCCATCCCACGTCGGAATCCTCTGGATATCAACGTTCTGGCCCGTGCTCGACGACGCCATGAACACTCAGAATCACTTCGACCAAACTCTGCACTACCAATATCTTGTCAGTCTCGTCTGGATTAGTCGCAAGAGTTGAGAAGCATTGTCGATGTCGATATCAGTTGAAGTATGGCAATAGAAAAGGTAACACTTTTCTCTCAGGACAAGGGTGGGATCGGTCACGAGCCGAATCAGTATCGATCTGAAACCGCGCGCAGAAAACTCGAGCACGGAATATAGTTACGGAGTCGGATCGGAGGTTTCCCCGAAACGTACAAACGGTACCGGATCGGAGGCTCCTGAAATACAATGGAACTCTCCCTTGGAAATCCGATTTCTAGGACACCCTCCTCCTCCTCCTCCTCCTCTTCCTCCTCCCCCTCCCCCACTTCCGCCTCCTCCTCCTCCTTCTTTCCCTCCTCCTCCTCCTCTTCCTCCTCCTCCTCTTCCCTCCTCCTCCGCCCCCCGGTCGGGCGAGGGAGAAGCAGGGGACATGCAGAAAAAAGAAGAGCTGGCGTGAGATCGGGGGAGATTTCGGGCCACATGACCTTCACCATCCTCTTCGACGCCACCCCTCCCATCAAGAGGCCGCCCAAGTAGGGCCCGGGACCTGCCGAACACTCACTCTCAGAAATAATGTTGTGTGTTCATGCCTCGTGTCGCTGGCACGACAAGAACAGCACCGAAGAGCACAGCTAGGCTCTCCAGGCTCACGCATCCCTATGTCCACCTCGTTTTTCCATGCTCCTACCAGCTCGTCGCGTGCTGCCCTCTCCATCTTCCCCTTCCTATCCCTCTTCCTCACCCTTTACTCTACAAATACTCAATATGAAAATACTCTCCCTCTTCCCCTGATGGCGTCCGGGTGATGGCCGCGCACCCTCCGCGTATTGTTTTTTACACACAGGATTCCCGGGAAATCCCGGGAAACGACTCTCGCTGAGGCGCCGGCGTCATTTTTTCCCAAAATGCTGCTCTCGTTGAGGCGCCGGCCTCATTTCTGCTCCCGAATCGTTCCGAATCGTGCTCCCGCTGCAGCGTGGGCCTCATTTTCGGATCGGTGTTTGGCCTCCGTCGTTCAGGATGGCGTTCTCGCCCCAGCGCGGGCCTTTTTCTCGCGCGCCCATCCGCCCGCCACCACCGCGCCGCACCGCCACCACCACCACCACCACCACCACCACCACCACCACCACCACACCACACCACCACCACCACCACCACCACCACCACCACCACCACCACCACCACCACCACCACCACCACCACCACCACCACCACCACCACCACCACCACCACCACCACCACCACCACCACCACCACCACGACAACCACGCACACACGCACGCACGCACGCACGTGCACCACCACCCACTACGCACGCGCGCGCGGAGCCACAGGTCCGCTACGACACGCGTCCGCGGATAGAGAAAATCAGCGCCATGGTAAGGGATGGGAGGGAGGGGTAGGACGTCAGATATGACGCGAGCGCACCTAGCTTGCATCTCCCCCCTCCGCGTCACCCTCCCAGGGGCACCCGCGCACCCCAGGACATCGCCACGAACTCCCTCTCCTGCTGGAGCGGCGCAACCCTCCCGAACACGACACTCGAACAAACGATGCTGCGACGGCATGCGTGTGCACAATGGGTGGGCTGCCGCACAGGGCCGCTGCATGGGGAGGTGCGCGGAGGGCCGCGAGAACCCACGAGGAAAGGAGGAGGGTGTGCCCGATGCTTCGGCCAGCTCCCGTCGACGGAGAGCGAGGGGGGATGTGAGAAGGAGAGGGCCTTCTCTGAAGGTGGCGCGGGGGCTCTCAAAAAACCCTCGCGCTATCCGAGAAGTGTTCTGCGTCGTCGGGAAAGGCTCGATCCCGTCGTGTCGACGCGGACGCTGTTTTTTTGAAGCCGCGCAGATCGTTTGACCTCAGGCGTTCTCCGCTGCAGGCGTCGTGCTTCCAAGTGAAACCTCGGAGTAAGAAACCAAGGGGCCTTCCTGTCACGTTGAGCCTGTGCCGCGACTGAATTTCTATGACCTGGATCCAGGGAACGGCCCCAGAACCAGAGCCCCTGCTCAGCCCCAAGCGGTCCGACAACGGATGTCGCAACACTGGTGTGGTTCAGGGCGCCGGTGGCGTTCCACCTTGAGCGCCCGCGCTGGCGCGAGCCGCGAGAACCTGCCGCAGCAGCACACTCACACTCTTGCCTGCAGAGAGGCCCTCCGCGGGAGCCCGGGGAGCCTTGGGCGCAGCCGCGTCCAGCTCCAAATCGTCCAGGCTGCGGAAACACCCGACAATGCCTGCCGTGGGATACAGCAGAGGAGCAGCACACCTACTCCATGCAATTGGAAGAGCTACGTACTGAGGAGCATAACGCAACAACCAGCCCTGTGGCCAAGCCCAACCAACCCGCTGGCAAACTCCCCTCAAACCACCCCCTTCCACCAATACTGATTAACGCAATGACTTCAATATCAGTGGGATGCATGTATCGATATAGATATACGTACACCTGTACAATGTGCTCGCCAGCCTGGCCCCAAAGAAATGCGGTTCAAGCAATCGGTGCTGTACAACCCATGTTGTGCAATACATGTGGTGCAAACTGTGTGCTGCGAACTATGTTGCGCGAGCTATGGTATGAGATCCATGGTGTGCAGTGTATACGGTGCGCAACATGTGCGATGCGATTGATGTGGTGCCATCTATGGAATCCAACCTATGTTGTGGACTTTATGTGGTGCCATCTGCGTGGTGCAACTTATGGTTTGCGATCTAGTCAGTGCCAAATAATGCTGTGCCGTAGATGCCGTCTATCTATGTTCCCCAGTGTAGGTTGTGCAATATAATCTGAAACATCGATGCTGTGCAAGACATGGTGTGCAATATGTGCGGAAGCATTTACATGCTGTCATCATGCTGCCACGTGTTTCGTGCAATCGATGTTGTGCGATTTAGATCGTGCGCAATATATGCAATGCAATCGACTTGACGCAACAGATGTGTTGCAACCGATGGTGTGCAATATAGATTGTGCGTGGTGCGATCTTTGTCGTGCAATCAGCGTCGTGCAAAATATGTGATGCAATACGGAGTGTGCAATCCACCTCCTACTCCGCCCCCTTCTAATCATCCACGTGCTCGTCGTCAGCAGCAGCATCATCACCATCACCATCATCATCATCATCATCATCATCATCATCATCATCATCATCATCAGCATCATCAGCATCATCAGCATCAGCATCAGCATCAGCATCATCATCATGCTCGGCTCCTGCTCTTCCACCATCGTCCCAAAGGATTCCACAATGGCTGGGGGAACGTCTCGCCCAATACCTTGGCAATTTGTTGGCCACACAGGCGGTACTAACAGGCGGCGAATGTGATTCGCCGCAGTCGTCTTCAATCTACCGACCCCCTTTGGCAAGCCGCACGTGTGATGGATGTGTCAGATACTTTGCCACGGGCCTCGGGATCCTCACCCTTGTTGCTCCTCCTCCTCCTCATCTTCTGCTCCTGGAACCTCCTCCTCACCCTCCTCCCCTGCCTCCTCACCTTCCTCCTCCTCCTCCTCCTCCTCCTCCTCCTCCTCCTCCTTCTCCTCCCACTCGTCCTCTGTTGGCCCTCGTCCCTCTCGTCCTCTGTTGCCCCCCGCTCCCTCTCGTCCTCCCCCTCCTCCCTCCTCCCGCTTCCTCTCCTCCTCCCCTCCCTCCTTCCCCTCCTCCCCCTCCCCCTCCTCCTCCTTCTTACCCTCCTCCCCAACTCCTTCTCCGCCTCCCTCTCGTCCTCTGCTGGCACCTCAAAGGTTCCCAATGGGGGTCTCGGCGCATCCAGTCTGCGAACTGGGGAACAAACTACAAGGATCCCAGCACGGATCGTCATCCGCCTCCGAGACGCTCAAGGTGACCCCCAAGGTGGCCTCCAAAACGGCAGACGGCCCTACGGTGCGGTCGAGGATGGTTTCCAAGACGACCAAAAAGGATCAAAAAGGCCTCCAACTTCGCCCAAGATGCCTCCAACACGGCCAGATGTGGCCTCAAGCCAGCCTAATACTGCCAAAGAAGCCTCTCGGAGGCCCTCCAGGCGGGCCCGAAGAGCGCCAAATTCACCCGGTTTCCTCTTGCCTTTCGGTCAGTTTCGCGATCTCACCTGTCCGTGTCTCCGAAAACCGAAGTCGGCTCTGTGGGCCTCCAACATCGGCCCAATACGTCCCACGGAAGCCCCGGAGTCGTCCCGACACGGACCAGGAGGGCCAAAAACGGCCGAAGCGACCTCTAAGACGGCCCTACACCGCGCGAGGATGCCACCACCCAGAGCAAGGCGAACTGCCAACATCTCTCCTGGGGCCCAAAAGCACCCGTGTTGCGTCCAGTCGTCGCGACGAGGGCGCCCCCGGAGTCCAATACTCGAAGAACACACAACAACATATACATAAACTTTCGGCAATATGCGTTGATTCCTTGGATCGGCGTTGGACCCCCTCCCTGGCGCGTGGAGCGCGCCTGGGGCGGCGCCGGGGGCGCCGTCAAAAGGTACCCAACGCCGATCCGACAAATCCGCGCGGACCCCGATACCGCTCCTCCATACGTAACTACCTCCCCCGACCTCTCAGGGGGCGCAGACCAGAGAATCGAGGAGCACGCAGCCGTGGTGACGAAAACTCTCCAAAACGAACAGCCGAAAACTCTCCAGAACGAACAACAATTCCCGCATATGTTCTCCCTCTTACCTACAGCGCCCCACGAGGCCACCAACACGGCTCAGAGAGGACAGTCGACCAACCGACGAATCGATCGGTGCAACGGTCGATGGCGGTGGGCGGGCGCCTTTGTCCTGCGCCTGAACGGCGGCGGACGAAAGCACAGCGGCGAGGAAATCCAAGTCGCGATGCCCGAAGTCGTGACGGATGTGGGCGCCGGCCAGGCACATCTGGGCGGGCGGGAAAGAATATTCGGCCGCATGTGATGGGGATGTTGAAAAACTTGCGTTTTCACAATTCGCAATGAGCGCACGTATTGTTTTACACATACACATGTCTACATGTATACACATATATATATATATATACAAATATATATATGAACCAGACGCAAACCAATGTATTTGTTTCGGCGCGCGCGTGCTGATCGTCCTCATTTTCTGCAAACGAGTACTGCGACAGTGAGCGCGCGAGGGCACTCGAATGTTTCCAACATGCGCGCGATCGGAAGGAAACGTGTGGCAACATATGATGACCTGTTTCGGGGCACTCGGTTTTAAAATCTTTACGAAACCCGCGGCGCTCGAAACAAATCGGCTTGCGCGCGCGACGCCGCGCGCGCGTGCACTGCGCCCCGTCTGACGCGAGGGACTGTTGCAAAAATGGCGGTTGTTGGTAAACGACGCGCGCGCACGCTAGTATTTGGCATGGAAGGTGGGGTCCCTAAGCGGATTGCCCAAGCGGTATGCATTCAGAATTCGTACTAGCGGATGTTCCGAATCATAGATGGAACACCAAACGAAAAAATGGTTCGTGAATCCTGGGGGGGCGGGGGGGGGATCCGAATGATTTGTTAAAGGAAGGTAGCCGATGATGTGCAATTCCGCGGGAGCATTCTGCGCGGCGGGATTGGTTTTATACAAACAACTGACAGGACCCACGCTTTTACAAACATCCCACCCACCCACCCGCACTTTGGCTTGCGAAACACATGCGGCGGCGATTGCGATGAATGCTTGGCGTTGGCTGGTGCATCTCTGCGGCCGCGTTAGCCCGTGCAGGCTCGCGCGCGCAGCGGCCAGCTAGTTCGGCGGGACCGACGCGGCAGCAGTGGCGCTGGCCGCTGGGGATTTTCCAACGGGCACCTCAGTGCGAGTCGGTTACTTGGGCTGGCGCGGTATCACGGCGACGCCGACAAGGGTAGACGCGATTATGAGAGGAGCGATGATGGTGAAAATTGCGGTGATGACGGCGGCAAGACACATGGCGGCGCCGACGTTGATCACGCCCGCCGGTAACGATGACGATGTCCTCGCGTCGGCGATGAAATTTGTTGGAGTTCGACGCGCGCGCGCGGCCGACGCGCGCGAATATCCCAGGTCGTATTATTCGGCACGGATCGCCCCCAGCACGCGCGCCAGGGGCCTCGAATGAGCTCGACAAGCGGCGCGAGAGGCCCTCTTGGCAGAATGCGATGAAAATGTAGAAACATATGGTTCCCGTGAGCATACGCAAGACCGCGGACGCACGCTTATTTGCGCAATCTCATTCTACAACGCAACGTTGCATGGGGGGCCCGGCGAAACCTGTTGCAGGGGGCCATGCGACGGCCCGCGCGCAAGGGCGCCCGAGCGATGTCGACGCGCGCGCGAGAGGCCCGCTTGGTTGCATGATATCCCAATGTTGAAGCACCGATGGTTTGCTGAAGAATTCGCGAGAACACGCGCGCAGGATCGGTTTGAAATTCCGGGTCGCTAAAAAATGCGCTCTTGATTGGGTTTTCTACAGATTGCGGCGCGCGCGCGCCGCGACGCGCGCGCGCTCCGCCACGTTCGACGCGAGGGGTTCGAGAAAACGGATGAGCATGGATAAACGAATGCGCCCGCGTACTACTTTTTGCTGAAGGTGAGGGGGGGGGCGCCGATCCCTGGCCTGGCGAGGCGGCGGCGGCGCGAGTTCGCGTGGAAAATTAACATGGGGGCATAACCATTTGCAAAATTCACTTCGCGAAGCTGGCTCGATGAGCCCAGGGGCGGGGAGGGCAGGGGGGGGATTCAATTTTCTTTTGTAGAGAAATCGCCCCGCCCGCCCGCCCGCAACTTGAGCAACAGAACAATTCTCGGAGGCAGCTCCGACGGCTGGAGCGCGCTTGCTAGCGCATCGCCGCGGCCGCGCTTGCGCGCGCAGGCTCGCGCGCAGAGCAGCCCGCAGGTCGGCTAGTCCGGCGCGAAGGGCGCGGCCGCGGCGGCGCTGATCGCCGGGCGCGCCCCAGCGCGCCCCGCTGGCCGCGCTGGCGCGCGGGCGCCGCGGAGCGAGTCGGCGTCTCGGGCGAGCGCGGCGCCCAGGCGACCTCGCAGGCGACAGATGCGGCAGACGCATTGATGATAGTAGCGATGATGATGGAGACGCTGACGATGACGGTGAAGGTCGTGGGAGGAGCACGAGACGCGCCCGCGGCCAGCGCGAGCGAATGGCCCGCGCGGTTTCATTTGACAGGGGGCCGCGCCCCCCCCCCCCCCCTCAACGGCGCGCGCGCAAGGGCGTTCGAATGATGTCATCGTGCGCGCGCGAGGGGTCTGCTTGGTCGCAGTCGGTGAACGCGCAGGAAAACCAACAGCGCGCGTGTTCTTTCTTGGGAACTCGCGCTCGACATGGACGCTGCAACCGCCGCGACACTTGATTTGTTTGGCAGATTCCGGCACGCGCTCGAGACGACGCGCGCGTGCACTTCGTCTCGTTCATTGCACTGGGTCCTTGAGCAGTAAGCTTGGGCCGAAATTCATGTCCCGAGAAGCAGTCGCAATGATGCGCGCAGACCTCCCTTGAAAACCGGCGCTGCGCCGCGCGTTCGCTACGCTGGGTCGGGGCGCTCGATCTCATCTACCATTCGTCGCCCAAGTTTTGCGCAATGCATTCGGGCGCGCGGGCGCGACGACGCGCGAGCGCGCGCGGCGCCAAGACTGCGGCAACATATTTCAACGAGGAAGCACGCGCGAGGGCGCCCGGGCCACTTCGGCGCGCGCCCGCGCGCGAGTTGCACCTTGGTAGCGCGCGATGACAAGGGTGATCCATGAGCGCGCGCGATAGCTCTTTCCGTGGAGCGCGCGCGATAGCTCTTTCCGTGGATTGAAAATTCCCGCAGCGGAGCCATGTCTTTTGATGCGTGCGTTCGCAGCACTAGATTCAGGAATCGCTGCGAAACCTTGGGTTCTGCTGCGAGAATTCAGTCGCGCCTCTTGCCGGCGACCCACGGGAGGGCGGGGGGGGGCAGGGCCCCCCCGCGGTGGCGCGAAATGCTCGGGACGGGCGAGCGCGCGGAATCACGCGCGAGAAAGAACGCGGAGAAGGTCGCCCGTCAAGTCCGACAGGCGGGGTTGAACAACATATTCTCTTGCAGTGGTAACGAACAGATTCTCGCGCGCGCGCCGTCAACTCCACTGCTCGCGCAATCGCCCCATCCGCCCACCCGCATTTGGGCGTCCAGAACTTATGGGGCGGCAGTTGCGGCGCCGAACTGGGGCTGGCTGGCGCGTCGCCGCGGCCGCGCCAGCGCGCGCGGGCTCGCGCGCAATGCGGCCAGCTAGTCTGGCGCGACCGACGAGGCCGCGGTGGCGCTGACCGCTGGGAACTTCCCAGATGCGTCGCGCAGGCCGCGCTGACGCGCGGGCAATCGGCTCGGGCGGGCGCGGCGCCGGGGCGACGTCGACGGCGGCAGACGCGGCGATGTTTGCAGCGACGCGAGATGCGACGGCGCCTGTGACGACGGCGAGGCGCACGGCGGCGACAACGCTGACCACTGTGACGACGATGATGATGCCCACGCGTCGGCGATGAAAGTTTTGGCGAGATGTTGAAGCGCGCGCGCGGACGACGGGCGCGGGTGGCCCGCGCGGACCCACGCGCCATGGATCGCGCCCCCCCGCCCCCCCCTCCCAGCGCGCGCAAGCGCGTTTCAGCGGCGCCGACGTGAACGCGCAGAAACAAATATGCATGCAAAGAAAGCGACACACCGCATAATGATCTTAAAGAAATCGCAGGAACGCGCGCGCAGACATCATGTGCAAACTGACGCTGCGTGGCCGCGTGCTTCAGGCCTTCGGGGCGCGCGATTTCGACGTCCTCGCAGCGCCTCGGCTTCTTGGGAGATGCCGGCGCGCGCGCGCGACGACGCGCGCGCGTGCCCTTCGTCCACTTGTTCAGTATTAAAAACATTTGTGCTAAGCGAAAGTGCGCGCATACTGTGGGCGGGGGGTGGCCGATGCTGGCCCGGCTGGGTCGGGGCGAATTCGCGAGGAAGGATCGAGGGGCAGAACCGCGCGACAACTGCGCGCCTCCAGGGGGCGGGTAAAACCAGGGCGGGGGTGTCCGACTGCCTTTTGGGCAAAAGAGAATTTGTCTAGCACAATCTAAGGCGGCGCCGAGGCGGCGACGGCGGCCGCGCGCCCGCGCGACGCGGGAAGGGCGAGGCAAGGGGCTAGAGGCAATAGGCCGACGGCAAGAAAGGCGCCGACAAGGTGACGCAGTATCAACGCGGGCGGGCCCCCCTTCCGCGCTGATACTGCAGGGCAAGGGCCCGTCGCGCGCCCCCCCCCCGCCCCGCTCGCCGCGGGGAGGGGGGGGCGCGCGACCCAAAAAGTGTTTTACCGTGCGCGCATGGCGCAGGAGAGCCAGGAATTGCCCTGCTTCCTCATGGGCGCTAGCGTCGAGGCCAGCGCCCGCGGACAGTCGGCGGCCTGAATCGCCCCGGCGGCCCAGGCCGTCATCTGCCGGGACAAACTAATCGTTCTCGCGATGACTGCGACCACGATGAAGCACGCCGCTCTCGCGACACTGCGCGCCCATCTCCACGGCGGCCATCTTCCCGCCCAGCACCGCGTGCTCCGCCAGAACGTGAAGAACGTGAGTCTCGAATGTGCTACGCCTGTCGTTTGGCCGCTGCGTTCGCGCGCGCGCGCGCGTCGCTCCGCGCCCAGGGTGCGTCGCCCATTCTGAGCGACTCTGGGCCCCCCGCCACGCGTCGCAGCGAAGATCTTTGGACGCCCATCAACTGTCGTTGTCGGGCCACTGCCAACTTGCGCACCCCCCTCGGCGGAAACTAGGGGCCGTGGACAGGCGCCGCCGCGGAGTCCAACCAGGTGCCTAAATATAGCGCCGATTGTAATAGAATCCGCTTCCCAACCGCGCAACCGTTGCGCAGCGCCGCGCGCCCGGCCATGAATTCGACGGCCTA